CCGGTGTGCGGTACGTTAAGGTGGGAACCCGAAAATGCACCCCGTGTCTCATGTCTGAGGTTGCAATGTGTGGGCAGCAAGCGCCCGCCGAGCTCTAAGCGTTACCCAGGGACGGCAAAGATTGCTGGTAACCCGAATTTACAGCATGCGAAGCGTCCTGACGGTGCCGGTGTGTGTTGGAACAGGAATAAGTTAACAAGGATGTTTTGTAGGGTACGGGGTGGGGGCGAGTCCCCTCACCCTCCGGCACAGGCTCCTCCCTGGGGGTTTTGTGCTAAACTCCTCGTCTTGTGCAAATCTTCCAGTGGTCTCCACTGCTCTGAATGGGAGTGATGTTCTGCAGAAAATGGCAGAGGAAGCCACAAAAAAAAAGCCAAACTCCAAACCCATCAAAGGCATCTCGGGGTGAGTGATGATCAGCAGCATTACACCACGAGCCTGAACCTGGGAATGAGAAAATAAAAGCAGAAGGTTGGGAAGTGTCAGCCTGGAGGCAGAAGCGAATCTCTCCCCCCTAACAAGTGCGATATTAAAGCCGGTGATTTTCTGCATGGTTGTGTCTACAAATACATGAGAAACTATAACTTAAAGGCAACAAAGCGCGTCGGCTCCTGCTTCAGCGCGGGCTGGGGACTGCTGCAGTGGCCCTGCGGCGCCGGGTGGGGTTTGCTCTCAAAGCCGGGGGTGCCCGGCTTTTGCCAATAATATCCGGAGGGAGCCCCAGAATTTCTGGGGGATCAGTGCTGGCCCTCCATCCTACAGATTCATTCTGGGTGAAAGCACGGAGACGTTTTGAATGCCAAAATATTTTTTTTCCAAATTTTTTCAAAATTAAGCTCTGCAATGTTTTTGTTAGGAAGTCCAAATTTGAAAGTGGTTTTAAATGGGAAGTTTAAACAAGAAGTGAAAGAACGAAGATGGCGATGGCAATATCAGTGATAGGTGACTGGTGTAGGCAGCCCGACCTGGCTGCTCTGTGGGCTCCTCTTTCCCAGCTCTTTTCCTCTGTTTTTTTCCGCAGGCTGAAAGTGAAAGATCTCCGTCCCCCGGTGATATCGCTGGAGCTCTCGCCGGGCTCGGGGCTCTTCATGGCCGTCTTAATCCAAATGACCATCTCTGGGAAAAGGTGAGCGGGGCTGGCACCACGGGGCAGAGCCGCTGGCGGGCTGGGGCGGGCTCGCTCGCGCCGGGGTTTGCCCTGCAGTGACCGAGCTCTCCTCTGAGCAGCTTTATAGGAGGAAACATGGAAATCACTCTGGCCGCAAACCTGACAGGCACAAGCCGGCTGTGGCAGGGCCCCCCGGG